CATACAGTAATGTCAAATCAAAACTTTACATTGGCAGTAGCGTGGCAGTCCCCGTCAAAGTTTCTCCAGGAATTTTCTAGTTACCTTGATGCTCTCTAGCTTCCTCCATGCTTCTTCCACTTCCTCCCTGAGGCCATCCTGCTTTGCCTGGGGGCCAGTGCTGGTTTGACTCCTGCAAAAACAAAAAAAATCTGTTGACTTTTGAGGACGATCTATTTAACGCTTGCCATTTTAATTAAAGCTCTACTACACACCTGATTCTGGCACTGTTCCAGTCTGTGGTCAGCTTTGCAAACTGCTTCTTGTTCCTCAGGATCTCTGGTAAATCTTCCTAAAGGGAGCATGTATACTTTCAGTGCTCATCCAGCTGCAGCCAGCTGGTTAGACAGAATGAAGCAAACTGACAACACACAACAGTTTACTGTGAAAATGTAATAAAACTAATGAGGTGTAAATTTATTCAAATATTTGATCATTATCAGCCACGGACAAACTTGTATGTGCAGTGTGGGGGGTGGGGGGGTGTAAAGAAGAGATACAGGCATAGTTTTGGTTCACAGTAAATGTATAATTTAGAAGCTATTGCATTGACTAGAAAGCTACAGATAAATGATTTGTGACTAATAAAAAGTTTGACTGATATTCTCATTATTTGTGTTCTATTGTTGTGGTAGAAAGTACTCTCTAACAAAATGGCCCTAACCCTCCCACTGGCTTGGAGCATGGGGTGTCTTAACTTTGAAGACCCTAGCATTCATTTTCTTTTGTTCCATTTACCAATCATTGAGTCATGGTGGCAACAGGTTCTGCAGGGAATACCACACATCCCTCTCCAGATTAGATCTAAAGGCCAGAAGGGGCACTTTCAGTGAGTTCTGGGTCTGTCCTGGGTCTCGCTCTCTTCAGATACCCAGACCTCCACAGATGATTCGTTTTTCTGCAGAGTGGATCTGCTCAGAACCACCCCAGGATGACAGAGCTCCTCACCCTGGCCACCCTACAAAGGAAGTTCATTTCATCTGCTTGTAGCCAGAATTTTTTTTGTGGTCATAAACCATACCTCATTACCAAAGGGAAGGGTTGGAATGTAGATGTACCTGTAAGTGAAGAACTTCACCTTTCTGCACAGCAACAAACAGATGCAACACTCTCAATACTGTGGACGAGGTCACAATCTATTAATCTATCTCCTGCTCCATCCTGCCATCACTCAAGAATAAGACTCCCAGATACCCAAGCCCCTTTGCTCGAGGTAGACGTTCAACTCCAACTCAGACTGTTCATTTCCTCCTTTTCAGATCGAGTGTTAAGGGATATGATGAAAGTGTTTTTATCCTGAGTAAACCTCTCATTGGTCTTTCTACTCTATGGACCAGAACCTTGTAAGTCTGGCTCACATCATTATCAGCAGACAGAAAATACTGTACGTCAGAAAGGTGACTAGTTGGAACAACTATGACTGGTCTCCAGTCCTTTGGAAGGGACACAGAGCATTTCAGGAAGCTGTCCCAAACAAACCTACCAAATCCCTTTTTATCCTTATGTATTTTACACAATTTGAGTGTTAATGTAAAAAAAAAAATATATATATATATATATAAAATAATAATAAAAAAATGTTGATTCAAACAACAGAAACCGTTTCTACCTCACTAAGTTTATTGAGAGGCTCCAGAACCTCCTTCTCCACCTTCACCTCAAAGTCTGCCAGCATGTTGGCCAGCATCTTCTCCATGAAGCAGCACATCTCCAGCACTCTCCTGTAACTCCCACACAGATAGAAGTGTGTTTACCATTTAACCCAATGAGGATACATCAAAATAGATGCACGTAAAATTATTTTCCCCCCCTATAAAAATGATTTCACAAAAATGTCTCGTCAAAAATGACAAATAAATGTACGTGTGGCTGGGTAAGAGCTGAGGAGCAAACCTGTCACCTGATTGAGGATGCTGCATCGAAGTCTTTGAGGCTTTCAGCCATGCTGATGGACAGCAGCATCAGGGGAAGCTTTTTCTGAATGAAAACATTATATATATAAAGGTGCTGGTCATAAAAATAGAATATCATGAAAAGTCAATTTATTTCAGTAATTCCATTCAAAAAGTGAAACTTATATATTATATTCATTCATTACACACAGATTAATATATTTCAAATATTTATTTCTTTTAATGTTGATGATTATAACTGACAACTAATGAAAACCCCAAATCCAGTATCTCAGAAAATTAGAATACCACTTAGAACCAATAAAAAAAGGATTTTTAGAAACGTTGTACAACTGAAAAGTATGAACATGAAAAGTATGCGCATGTACAGTACTCAATACTTAGCTGGGGCTCCTTTTGCCTGGATTACTGCAGCAATGCAGCGTGGCATGGAGTCGATCAGTCTGTGGCACTGCTCAGGTGTTATGAGAGCCCAGGTTCCTCTGATAGTGGCCTTCAGCTCTTCTGAATTGTTGGGTCTGGTGTATCACATCTTCTCTTCACAATACTCCATAGATTTTCTGTGGGGTTAAGGTCAGGTGAGTTTGCTGGTCGGTTAAGAACAGGGATACCATGGTCCTTAAACCAGGTACTGGTAGCTTTGGCACTGTGTGCAGGTGCCAAGTCCTGTTGGAAAATGAAATCTGCATCTCCATAAAGTTGGTCAGCAGCAGGAAGTATGAAGTGCTCTAAAACTTCCTGGTAGACGGCTGTGTTGACCTTGGACCTCAGAAAACACAGTGGACCAACACCAGCAGATGACATGGCCCCAAACCATCACTGACTGTGGAAACTTGACAATGGACCTCAAGCAACATGGATTCTGTGCCTCTCCTCTCTTCCTCCAGACTCTGGGACCTTGATTTCTAAAGGAAATGCAAAATTTACTTTCATCAGAGAACATAACTTTGGACCACTCAGCAGCAGTCCCAGGTGAGACGCTTCTGACGCTGTCTCCTGTTCAAGAGTGACTTGACACAAGGAATGCGACAATTGAAACCCATGTCTTGCATACGTCTGAGCGTGGTGGTTCTTGAAGCACTGACTCCAGCTGCAGTTCACTATTTGTGAATCTCCCCCACATTTTGGAATGAGTTTTGTTTCATAATCCTTTCCAGGGTGCAGTTATCCCTATTGCTTGTACACTTTTTTTCTACCACATCTTTCCCTTCCCTTCGCCTCTCTAGTAATGTGCTTGGACACAGAGCTCTGTGAACAGCCAGCCAATTTAACAATGACCTTTTGTGTCTTGCCCTCCTTGTGCAAGGTGTCAATGGTCGATTTTGGACAACTGTCAAGTCAGCAGTCTTCCCCATGATTGTGTAGCCTACAGAACTAGACTGAGAGACCATATAAAGGCCTTTGCAAGTGTTTTGAGTTAGTTAGCTGATTAGAGTGTGGCACCAGGTTCAAGCTCCGGTACCGACAACATTAAAAAAATGAAGGGGGGTAGGTGAATCACCTACACCTGTCCCCACCCTCATTCGTCCCACTCTGGGCCCTTGAGCAAGGCTCTTAACCCCCACCATCTTCTCCTACGGGTGTCCTAGATAGCAGCTCTCTGCTCCACACAGAGGGTTGTGGTAGCTTGGAGGTCTGTGGTTGCGTCAGGAAGGACATCCGGCATAAAAATAACTGCCAAGTCTTCGTGCAACTTAGTTCGCTGTGGCGACACCTAACGCAGGGAGCAGCCGAAAGAAGAAGAAGAAAAGAAAAGGAAAAAAAAAGAGTGTGGCACCAGGTGTCTTCAATATTGAACCTTTTCACAATATTCTAATTTCCGGAGATACTGAATTTGGGGTTTTCATTAGTTGTTGGTTATTATCATCACCATTAAAATAAATAAACATTTGAAATATATCAGTCTGTGTGTAATGAATGAATATAA